ATTGATTTTTTGATCCATTAAGGTGAAAATTTTATTAATATTTTTTAGAGTTTTTCTTTAATACTAAGCCCAAAAATCAAACTATACAATTTGTCATGAAAACAAAAGTAAGCTCAAAACTCTATTCCATAAATAATGCCGGTTTTAATGCAGTTCAATCAACTATATGACTTGTATTATTTGTAACACTCTAGAAAATATCCAAATTTAAATGACAATTTGTATCAATAGATAAAAATAATGACTCTATTTTAATAGAGTAGATATAGTACGCGGTCAAATTAGTTTTATCGAAAAATAGTTTTATCGATAAAAAAATAAAAAATACAGCCCACGTAACCTCAACATTCTTTGGGGTATAAAACGAAACATTTTTGTTAATGCAAGGTGAGTGAACAGCTCAATTTTTAAAAACATATCAATGCACTATTGTGGCTCGTTCAAATTTGTGAATGATAACACATACTGTATTGTTAAAGGCTGAGAGTTTTTTTCTCTTGTGTTTGAAAGTATGTGTTTCTGTTATTAACGTAAGTTTAACTTGTAAGCTGATTAAGAAAACCGAATAAAAAATAGTGCCATTTATATACTATAGATTAATCCCCTTAATTAAAAAGCGGGTGAGATGTCGTTTAAATAATGTTTTGTTTGAACAAAAAAAAATTAAGTTTTGTTGTTTCGCTAATGTGACTATAGTTATGAATTTGAATCCTGATGACTAAGAGTGAACTTAATTCACATGTTTTGGTTTCTAGTTCGAAAAAGGTTAAAAACCACAATCTGGAACTATTCGGGGAGTTAGAAAATGGGTCAGACTGGTGAACCCCGCGATGTTTGGTGAAAGTAAAATAAACTATTAACTAGAGATAATGCGACAAGTCGACTGTGTGATATTTGTGAAAACCTATCAATTTGCCTGCATCAGTTCAGTGACATATCTATTCCGACTTCGAAAGGACAGCTTACGTCTCACCGCGTCCTATTATATGAATATTAAATAAAATAAGTGGGATCCTAAAAATTTCAAAAATAAATAAATTATTAGACCTACAAAACTAATAACGTTTTTTTTTTGTTGAAAATAATCGTTTTTGTTTGGTCGCTCAAATGTTTTTATGGACCAGTTGCATGCGCTCGTTCGCCTTTTGGGACATGAGGAAACAGGAAAGAGTGTATGACGCACTTCACAAACACACCACTTGCCTCCACTTTGTTATCTCTCTTACCTTTTGTTTGGTTAGGGCAATTCTTCGTAATCTTCAAAGCTTCTAATCAACTTATTTGATTTCTTTAATATTTCTCTTAATGGTATTTCGTGGAACAACAATCTCTACCTAAAAAAGCTAACAAGTTTTTAGCAAAAAAAAAGCTAACAAGTTTATCTACACATCGTTAGAGTAATTTGAACTCCATACCAGTAAAAGACTAGGTATTTAATTGCAAGTGAACAAGATTGAATTTTGACAAATTTGATCGATTTTTTATTTAGTTGTTATGGGACGAGTATTATTTTTCTACAGTTTGTTATTTTCTTACGTAAACATTTATTACTAGTTTGTATATATAGCTAACTTATAGATTTTAAATAAATGTTGCAGAATGCATGATTTTGTATCTTGTTATTTTTTATGTAGAGATCTACTTTGTTGATGACTTTATATTTCTGTAAACGTGTGAAATATTATTTTTGAAACATATTTATCATAAACTACTATTTACGTATGCATTTCAAAAAATAATTATATTTTTAAAATATATTAAAAAATTAGCACTACACTTTCATCCATTGATTTACCATTGCTTTGCTGGTGTATTTCTGGACATTGTAAGAGACATTTCAAAGGACAAGAAACTATTTGAAGAGATGCAATCATCTGATCTGTAAATAAAATGTCTTTTCAGATTAAGTACACGATAGAATCCCTGATTAATAATAAACAAAATGCTAAATATACTCGATAAACATAAACATTACTAATGATTTTAATCAATAAAACTATAACCATTTCTTGCAATTTGACTGGAAATTTCTGACTGAATTACACCAGTTGTGCGAGCTAAATAAAAAAACAGAAGTTCTTAAATGGACAACAGCTTAGTTATGCAATAAATATAGTATTACATATATACATCTTGTTTAACATATGACAAAATTTAATAATTTAAAGCATCGTATTATTGTCCTGACCAAAATATTGTTTGGATCCCTGATAATATGACCAATTTGTTTTTAAAAAAGGTTTATGGCGATTGGTGCATATAAAAATTAAGCCAATACTGATCCGAGAGGCAAGAGTTATTTGGCATGACCAAATGTTGTTTCAGGGTTATTTAGAAGACAAAATTGCGTCCTGATTTACAAAATTACAGAATTTGTAATTTATTTACAAAATCTTCCAAGAAAATAAAGAGCTGAGAAAAGCTATCGTTTATTTTCTAAAAAAAAAAGGAAAACCTAAAGTTTTTTGTATGCCTTTCATGTTAGGTACTCTTCTCTGTATGCCTGCTTGGAAAAGAGAGTACGAAGAGAACCTACAGGTCTGGTTTGGCTCAAGACCAACCAATTAGGATATTCTTTAATTGTTCTTAAACTTTTCTAACTTTAGTTCTCTTCAACTATAGAAGCACTAGATGTAACAATGTGTTTTTTTTTTGGTCAAGATGTAACAATGTGTTTTGATTGAAGAGAAAAAAATTAACATTAACTCAAAAAAAGAAATGAGTATTCTTTGACCATAACAAGAATAACACGAAATCGGGAGCCCAGTTTGTTACTTAAACCGAATATTACTTTTGGGCCAATTGATGAAGTTGACCTTCATGAATCATGGATTTGAAATTTTTTGAGCTAATCCGCTTTCGTCCGCCCATAGCTAAAATTACTTTTATTCATATTTTTTTTTGTTAATAAGATTTACTAATAAAAGTGTAAGTTTTTTTTTTCTTTGTAAAGTACTACTTTTATTTTTTTCTTCTTCCTCAGGGTACCTTTACAACATAGGTTAAGGGTGAAAGAAGAAAAAGCTTAAAAAGATACAATATAACAAAATCCATGTGATCAAAGGAAATAAAGAGAAGGGAGTGATTACTGATGCTGAAAATGCGGAAAAGTAGACCTTCTAGTTAGCTTTTCCTTGTCTAAACCAAGAAGTAGTGCCCTTATTTGAAGCTGTATTTCCTTTGTGATTACATGTGCTGGTTTGTTGGTAGAGTTATATAATCCAGAATTTCTCTCCTTAGAAAATATACCACATCATGGAAGATTAAGAGAACCAAGAGCTTTAACTCCTTACTTATCGCCGGTGATAGAAACCATTGGAGCACTTCCTCGGAGGAATGAGGCGGTGTAAGCCTTGAGAAAAGGAAGAAGGATTCCCAAACCTACTTAGCAAAGCAACAGTAAAAAAATGATTTCTAGTTTACTATCCCCATTACCTAAGTTTGTCTCTGGTTGCAAGCATATCTCTACAGGCAATCTGCGATTAAGTATCCAACTTCTAACATTTGAGAAATCATCATTCCAAAACAGGCAATCTGCGATTAAGTGCTTTGAGACCCAAATAATCCACAACGCACCATTTCCAGCAAACAGAAAACAAATGTGCTTTAACCCATAGATTGTATGTTGACTACTCTGGTCTCGAGGTTTGCATAGTGAATCCCGCGAGACTTTTGCTCTTCGAACAGAGTTTGAAGCTCCTGTCCAAATAAAAGTGTTAGTTGTAGATTTTTATCTATGAGTTTATGCTTTAAAACGGATTAACGTTATTATCTCAAAATGTACGTATATGAAGAATGTGTTAGTAATACCTAAAAACATTTATGATATGATGGTTCTATTAATATAGAAACTGTATGTAATTGGTAAAATAAGTTTATTTTGCGCTAAGTTAGAGTGAGGTGAAATAAATTTCAATTAAAACAAATCTCAAAGTTAATGAATGTTAGTGGGAGTTCAATTTATAGAGAATTTGTTGATTTTAAAAGTTGAAAGATTTGTTAAATTTATAAAGACTTGTAAAATTTTTTGTATGTTCTAAAATTCTTTGAAAATAAATTGATATAATGATTATAAAAATCCAAAGTGTATAGATAGTATTCTCAAAATCTTGTGTTAGTGAATTAAACAGTGAAAATATAACACTTAATAACATCAATTTTAATAGATTTAAAAAGTTATTAAAATTTATTTTCTAATAACAAATAATTGTGTTTAGACTTATTAAATCGTCAAATCAATAACATTAGATTATAATGAAAATGTAAATTTATAAATCAATGACACTAGATACTAAAAATTCTAACAATCATTGTAAATTTAATTATCACTAATATCCCTAAGCATTTGAAGTTTGAACTTTAATCCAATAGTGCCCCATCATTATCTTTTTTTTTTGTCGACTTATCTTCTTCTTTATATACTCACTTTTAAGCTTTTGACGAGTCCAAAGTTCAAAACCATCTTTTGAGGATCAAAACCATCTTTTGAGAATTAGTTTGAAGCTTTGGATTCTATCTCAGGACAGGAGACACAACTTTATCAAAGAAATGGTATGAAATTTCTCTCACATACCCATTTCACGCATTTTACCTTTTGCGTCAGAAAAGAAGAAGGGCTACAAATGAACAAAATATATATAATTTTTTTGTAACGATTTTGCTTCGTGCCTAAAATAGTCTTGTGATTTATGATGTTTATCGATAATTTTTCTTTACTGGAAATTTCTCACTAAGTACAAAATAGTTTCTGGACAGTCAGATTTTGAAATCTTGCTAAGTTTTTGTTTATAATTAAACCGAGATAGTTGATAAATTTACATTTTATATCCAGTTTTAAATACGTGGAAAGTCGTGAAAGAAAATATCTTACAGACAGACACAAATAATAGGTGAAGAACAAGACACTGTGTTAGCCTGCATGCATGCCTTGAATAAGACAATGTACCTTTTTGTTTTTAATATCGAGTAAAAACGTGAATATTTATCTTACTCATCAAGTCGTTTAGTGAAAATAGTTTATTCTTGAATATCTTCTATCAAGATAAAAAGACAATCGAACTCACAGAGCCAATTTAAAAGACATTACATTATTCAATAGTTGCACTACATAACTGAACCGGGAAACCGCAAACTTAAACCAAATCAAACCAAACAGAAGGATAAGAGATCGGTACAACCGTAGAACAAGCCGAACACGAGAGACACACTAGTGGCAAAAGATGACTTTGAGCTCTCTAGGAGAAGAACAATCGTGCATAAGCGAAGGACTATCATGAGCAAAAGTCATAGTCGAAGGACACGCGTGCTTAAAGAACAGAGAGTGGCTCGAAGCTCGACACGTCTGCGGACTATTGTAATGATTCCTACAACACAACTCATCCGTACGGAACGCCTCACACCCACTCTTACAAGCCACCACGTGTCCACCGTGTCCTGACCTGAGCTGAAGATGAGCCGGACACGTTTTTAAGAGGTCTTCACGACAACCCACGACGGGACAAACACCACGGCCTTCGTGAGGAGTCACAGTCATCGGAACGTTGAAACCGTCGACGAGAGAGACACCGTAGGAGGACAAATCTTGGTGTCCACCGTGGTGAAGATCAAACTGAGCGAGAGAAGCGGGAGTTGCGCCACCGAGTCCGTTGCATTCGAGACGGTGGCCACAGTCTCCGGTGACACAAGAGAACTTGCCGTTGTAGTGGGAGCAGCCGGTTCGGCCCCATATGCGACCGGACCAGTGGGTAGATGGTGGGGAAAAGGAGCGGTGGGTGTTGGTTGGGAGAGCGAAGCCACCTCTTTCAAGCACGGGGTGGCCAGCGTTGGGCTGAATGGCTGGCCAGACGGTGAAGGGACAGTGGTTGACGATGGTGAGGAAGAGACGGCCGGTGTCTGCGGCAGTGGCTGAGGAAATGAGGAGGAGGAGGAGGAAGGAGGCAGCCTGAGGAAGAGAGGTTTTAGCCATTGTGTATTTTTGTCTTTGTTTTTTTTTTGTGGGTGAATGTGACTATTAACGTGGGTATATTTTATAGAGCTAGCTGCGCATTAATTTATGTTCTTAGAGCATCTCCAACCCCACTGCATATTTTACTGTAAAAAAAAAGTAATAAAGAAACAAAAATCTTATTACTCCATATTTAGAGTAATCACTTTTTTGTTTCTTCATCACTCCATTTTTCACTCTATTTTGCAGTAAATTATGGAATAGGGTTAGAGATGCTCTTAGACCATCTCCAATGGTGCTCTATACTTTTTTTTTATATTTCACTCTAAAATAATGTAACTTTATAATAGAGTTTAATTTCTTCCAATGGTTTACTTTATAATAAAGCTAACACTATAATATAGAGGAATGTTGTTTTTTCACTCTATATTTGGAGTAAAATAGCAACATTCCTCTATATTTCTCTCTATTAGGGCATCTTCAACCCCTCTCTATTTTCACTCTAAAATAGAGTTTTAGAGTAAAAGTGCTCCAATGCTACTCTATATCTCACTCTATTATAGAGTGAAAAATAGGTTTACTCCAAATATAGAGTAACTTGTTATAGTGTAACTCTATTATAGAGTAAACCATTGGAACAAATCTAACTCTATAATAGAATTGCACTATTTTAGAGTAAAAATTATAGAGTATCATTGGAGATGCCCTTAGAGAGACAAAAACAGCCTTGATTATTTTTATTTTTGTGTGGTAGTTAGCCAAATCATTTGGGTTTTATGGAGATGAAGGGCTATTGTTTTTCTTTAATTGAGATGAAGGGTTAATGTTTGATGATTCATTCTTGGATTCATCCCATAAGGTGAACCTCTAGGTTTATCATCCAATAAGATATCATTATTTCATATTTGATATTTTCTTAAAAAAGAAACAAAATCTTATCAAGTTATATTATGTTTTTAAAAATAAAAATACAAAAATAAATAAAAATAATAGTACTAATTTAATAAAAACAAAAATAATTTATTTTAAAGAAAATATTTTAACTCTAAACTCTAATCCTAAACCCTAAATCCTTAGGTAAATCATAAACCTTTGGATAACTCTTATAGTGTTTATGAATTATCCAATGATTTAGGGTTTAAGATTAGAGTTTAGGGTTTAGTGTTTATGATTTACCCTATGGTCTAGGGTTTAGTGTTTTGGTGTTAAAATATTTTTTAAAGATTTTTTTTATAAAAATTATCCAAAGATTCATGATTTATCTAGGAATTTAGGGTTTAGAATTAGAGTTTAGGGTTTAGTTTAGAAATCTGATCGCACAACCAAATAATTTATATATCAATTAGACCATATAACTCTAATTCAGGCATTAATCGACCATATAACTTCGGTCAGTTATCACCAACTTTTTGGACGTACTTCTTATTATACTAGATTTACGTCTCTATGTGATGCACACATTATCAAGTTTAAAATGTTAATAATAAAACTAACTTTAAATCCCCTATATATTAAAAGAAAATCATTTAAAAAGTTGTAATCTTAAATTTGTAATAATTAAAAATAACATCAATGCTATGTGGCATAGTTTTTTGTCTTCTATTTCAATTTGGAATGATTCTAGAGCATGTAATATAATATATAGTCTAAAAATACACTCTCTAGCAATATAATATTTCATAGATTATAGTTTGTCGCATATATCAAATATTTATTGTTATATTTATTGTTACGCATGATTTCCTTAAATAAAACATACGGAATTACCTAATGTGATTAAAATATATATATATGACAATTAATGATTTTAAACAATAAAGATTTGATAACAATATGTCTATTTTTCTCATTTTGTTTATTTCTTTATTATTAAAATAAATTACAATTACATTACTCATATAATAAAAATCTAGATTTTTTTTGTATGTTGTATATCGATTTTTTCAAAATGAATATAAATTACTAAAACTGTTAAAAGTCTCACATAAACTTTTAGAATCAAGGTTTGAATATTTTTTTATATTAAAATATAATGATTATAAGATCATATGAAGAAATAATTTTAGTTTATATATATTTTATATCGTTTATATTAAACTATACATCGTATGAAATTACATACTTATATTTTAATATTTTCATTGAACATATATTGAAAAGTTAATATTTTAATTTTGAAATATGTCATTATTTCTTTTAAAAATGATTATAAATTATTGAAACTACTAAACATCTCACATTAAAAAAAATTGTTGGTGTAAATTTTTGTTACACTAATATGCATATAATCATAAAATCATATGAGTAGAAACCTCATTTAATAAATATCCTTATTAAAAGTGTACTATATTACTATGTTTATATCATTTAAATTTAATTATATATCATATAAAATATATAATATTAATTATTATGATTTATTTACCCTAATTGCGAATAAAAAAGAGTGATAGTTAAATTTATATCCATACGCCAATTTATTACATAATAATAACCGATTTCTTAGTTATTTAATATATATATTGATTATTTTATTATTTTATAATATGTAAAAAAATATAAAATAAATAATAAATATAAAATACTTATTGTGCATAGAGTGTAGATCTTAACCTAAGTATGTATCTATTTAATTATTTTAAGTCTTAAGTATTTTTTAAATCTCGTGTCAAAACAAACAAACGAAATGAGAATAAACTTCAAAATAAATATTCATATCAAGTAATAACCAAAATAATAAAAAAACACAACAAGAGAAAAAATGAAGATTAATAGGATTGACATGTAAACGTAAACTTCTCATAACAATAATTAATTTTTAAATTATTAAATCATGATATAAAACTGAGTTCTTTTTTACATCATTATGGTTATGTTAAATCATGACCATAATTAATTTTAAATTGTTTTTTTTTGTATTTGAAAAACTAAAAATATTATTTTTTAAAATAATTTAAAATTTAACTTAATTTTTTATAAATTATTATTTTTTAAATAATTTGTAAAAGAATATAATTTTCTAATATTATTAAACAAAGAAATCAATTATATTAAATTAGTTTTGAAACTTTATATATTTTAAATGTAAATATTTTACCAATTCCTTATTAAGAAAACCTTAGGGAACTTGCTAATACTCTACTAATCAAGTCCAGTGACATTCCGTTTATTTTCCATCAGTCGAACACTGAAAAGTGAAAAAATATATAAAATCCTGTCCATTAAATTCTAAGCTTTGATCTATAGTTCTAATTACAATTGTTTCTGATATTACGTAGATAATTATATAAAAATTTCAAAATTATAAAAGTTCAATACATATAAAAACAATCATATTAAAATTTTTAATTTATCAGTACCAAAATTTTATATTTTAATTACATACTAGATTTCGACCCGCACAACCGTGCGGGTATTTTAATATAAAATTATTTGAAATTATATAATATTCTTTTCGTTTCAAATTTGATGATGTTTTAAAATATTTATTTTGTTTCAAAATATAAGATGTTTTGAGATTTTAAGGTATATTTTGAAGTTTTAAGGTTACCTTTAATTTTATTGGAAATTGTCCAACCAATAAAATTTTACTGTCTTTTTAATAATTGGTTGAATGATTTTAAAATTATAACTTTAAAAATAATTTTCTAAAAGAATGTAAATTTCTTAATCTTTGTGAAATGATGCAAAACATCATATATTAAGAAATGGAGGGAGTAAAAGTTATCAATAAATAAATATACATGCAATTTGATTATGTATACTATCCAGTTTTATAATAATATTTATGTGTCTTATAATATTATTAATTTAAAATTTATAAGTTTTTATTTTTGTAACAATTTTTAAAAACACTATTATGTAACATGTAAAAAGTATTTTACATAATTTTAATTTTTTTTATTTCTAAATTTGAAATATATGTAAAAAGTAAATTAAGTTGGACCTACATAATACATAAACAAAATTTTGGGATATTGTTAAAAGTATTTTACATAATTTTAATTTTTTGTTTATAAATTTCAAAAATGAATTAAAATTTTAATTATATTTTATGATAATTAAATTTTTATCAAATACTTTTTGAAACTATATCTTGAAAAGATTCTTAAAAGATTTTGTTAGAATCTTCTTAAAATTGTTTATTTGTATTTCAAACAAAAATTAAAAATATGAAAAGATATTATAATAATGTTATGTAAAATTTTATAAAATTTCTAATAATGGTCCAAACTAAAAAATCACACATGAAATGAGTCATGACTTCTCTTTTAATATAATAGATATTCACAATGCGCAAGACGCATGTCTTATCCTAGTATATATATTATATATATATATATATATATATGAATAAATATATATACATATAATACATCTACATAACAGTTATGCCCTTAATAAAATATTCAGTCTATTTCATTTTATTTGACATTTTAAGTTTTTCACACATATTAAGAAAATATTTAATTTTATATAAAAATACAATTATCTATACATCTAATCAATTTTCAACCAACAGAAAAATAGAATAGTAAATAATGTTAATAAATTTTACATTAAAATTATAAAATGATAATTATTTTAAAACAAATTTTTTTACTATGATTAGTAAATCGAAATGGAGGGAATATTAATTAAGAACACTCCACCCGTCAAAGCAAGTATAGTGTGCCATTTTAAAATATCAGCCAAAATAGGTGTCATATCTCACAATATCACTAAAATATAGTACTATTAATTTTAAAATATTCACGTATTCTACATGATAAAAAAATATTAGATCGTCTATTTTGATTTTATGTAAACATCAATATTCTGAATTTAATATTTTAGTTCGAAGACTTCGCTCTCTCATTTCGTTTTCTTGGCGTTTATAATCTGTTCATATATATTATTCCTATATATGGCAGAATATTTTGATTTTATGTTCATACTTTTTTTCTTTGATCAGTTGCACGATTTTGTTTCCGATGATTTGATTTTGTGGAATTCTATCTTATATATAACCCTTTCTTACTTTAAACATTTGTAATATATTATGATTCTAAATATTATATTATATAATCTTTGACTGTAATTGTAGTGTTTGTAACTTAAAAGCTCCCTAAAATAGTCTTAATTTGATTTTTTATAGAGCTCAGTTTTGTTCTAACTTTCATATGGCAAGTTTTTTTTTTGTTTACCTTAATCACCTTAAGTTTCTTTATTTTCTTAAAAATGTATACATTATTTTTGTTTTCATCTTCTATCCAATCTGTTTTTAGTATTTCATCTAGTTTAAATAGATTTTTTTTAAATAGTTTTTATTTTAGTATTAAATTGCTTAATATATTATTAATATAAAAACATTATTTCTAGATGATTTAACCTTTCAAATTTTGTTGCGTCAATGCCTGTTTATTTTTAACACATATGAAAATAATCTCAACTCCTAAAACAATATTTTCGTAAATGGTATTTCTTCTTATAGACCAAAAAATGTTATGCAATCTTAATATATTTACTATATTTACATTATTAAAAATTAAATTATTTTGAAATATTTATGTGAATATTTAATTCAAAAGTTTCTAAATATTTTTTTAATTATCCTTTATATATTTCTTTTTAAATTATTAAATATTTTGTATTAATGTATTAATTTTAATGTGTAAATTAACTAACTAATATTATTTTAGTAAGTTTTTTTGACAATGTAGACACCTTAATAAAATATTAAATTCGCTTTCAGATATAGTTGATGTCTATTTATATTTTAACACTTATAAAAACTATCTATAATATTAGTTGTGAAATGATTTTTTACAAGCTCCCATATTAAAAATTGGAACGGTAAATCCTTTTTATTATATAATTTATTATAATAAAAATGAAATTTATAATATTAAATTTATATGTTAGATTATATAATGGTTTTAAATTAATATAATAAATTAGCTAAAAATAAAAGATATTTTATAAATAATAAGAAAAATCTTATATATATATATTATGTTTTATCAAAAGCAATAATTTTACTCATAAAAATAAAATATTGTAGCGGTTAAATCGAATTTACATATATAATTTATTACGTAATTAAAAATGAACTTTATATTAATTTTTTTAGTCAAATTAACTTTATATTAATAAAATTAGATTAAATACTAAATGTTGCGAAATAGTAAGAAATCTTACATATATTATTTTTTATTTCAATCACAAAACAAAGAAGAAAGAAAAAAAATGATGGATGATGAAATACTAATTAAAAATAACAATAATTGAAAAACACAATGGCATAATATATAATATATGAATTTTAACGCAAAAATAACTTTGACAAACATATACTTTGATGAGCCACTCATTGAATATACATTTCCTATGATCATTAATCCTGATGAAATCCACGATTGCTACCTTTCGTCCTCCATTTTGGAACAAAGGGAACCATGATATCCCAATGGCTGTTCTGCCTCAAAGCATAATTGAAGCTTCATTCGATGCTTCGGATTCAATGCCCAAACAAAACAAAGAAGTATGCTCTTTTCCACCTCCCTAGCTAATGGTCTGAAAGCAGAGAGAGGAAGACGTCTGTCCTATAATGCCTTCCTTTATAGCAGTTAGAGCCTGTTTGGAAGCTTTTCTTAGTGGCCTCCACACCCTTACTTTTAGTTTAGTCCCTTAATCTTGACATATGGAAAGGAAACTACATACATGTTTCAAAAGATGCACTATAGCCATTTGTTGGATTAAGCTTGAAAAAAGGAAATTTGAGATAAAAATTTATTGTCCTAATCCTATTGAGTTGTGGTTATCTAAAGGGACTAGGAAACTATAAGTTATATGTAATGAATTTAAGAGTTTTAGATTTATAGATGCAAGAATGTTGCATAACATAGAGTTTTATGAAATTGTGAGATCTTAAAGGTTTTGAAATAGTTTTCTTAAGAAAATTTAATAAGAAGAGTTTCTTATTGAGTTCATAATCTTGTTCGTGTGACCTGATTTCTATACCACTATCGTGTCAAACGAAGTTGATAGAGGAATAATTTTGATTTCCTGGTAGTTTGAGCTTCTGAAGTGCCTTACAAAGAGTTTGGCTAACTTGGTGTCTTTGTTAATCTGCAAGCATTTTTCCCTAACCTATATTAATGTTTGCGAAGTGGTTTTTTTCATTCGAGCTTTTACGTTAAAAGTTGAAGGATTAATATTGTTTATCAAAACTTATCCCATTAGTTCTTTATCAAATTGGTGTAGAATGATTTCTTTTTTAGTTTTGTTTTGTTTTTGTGAAATTGATGGAATAATCACTTCATTCGTGGTAATTAGTAAAAAAAAACATATTAGGAGAGAATGTCATTTTATACCATTCAATTCCACAAATATGCAATCGTTACAACCTCAATTTACTTTTGATCAAATTCAACATATAACTTTAGAATGACCTTTTTGCCCTAATTTATAAACGTTTTAGATATTGCTGGACTTGTATGTGCAAAATATATCAAGATCAAACTAAATCAAGGACAAAGATTCACATCTCCCTCTCTCTTTCTCCTTCTTTGCGATTATGTTTGTTTTGGATTCTATACAGTGCGTTTCCGCTTGGATCTTTTGCTTCTTCTTTGTCCCACGTCGGGCAATGGCTTGTTTGTGCTTGAAGCTAACGCTCCTTCACGAACCTCTTCTTCCTGTTCCATCATACTTGCTCTATAAGTTTCTTTTTAACGTACTTTTCATTCATTAACGAGTTGTATTTTACGAGACTATTACCTCATCATCGGAACCTTCTTCTGATTCAGACTGAGACTTTAGCAGTTCAACTGTATCTTTCGCAACGGCCTTGTTCTTCTTGCTGCGCTTCTCTTGCTCTTTTAGTTGTCTAAACCTGTTGTATTCCAACATAACCTTACTTGTAAGAGAAAAAAAGTTATAAAATCAGAGGTAATAAGGAGATTCACGTACCTTTCGCCAGCATCATCATCAGGCTGAGCAAAAGATCTCTTCGCTCGTCCTGCAGTTATTATTCCGCTTGCGTTTTCATTGACTGTAGGCGCTGCGCCACCTAGTTTACGCAGCCAAACTTGTTGGGCGGTGCTAAGTACATTATTTGTGAACCTAAAATACCATTACAATGTTGAAACATTAAAATCTGAACAGTAAGTATTACAAGCTTTTTATTACTGGAAATTTTTACACATCCTATATACATTCTCAGAATGAAGCCATCTAGGTTAGTCTATGGTTCATGTGTGCTAACCACATCATAGATAAATGTATACTGAAGGTGCTAAAAAATGTTTAGATGAAAGTTTTAAAGGTGTGGCAACCAACCAGTATATAGATAATCCTGATGGGACAGACAATGCAAAGTAGCCAATCATGAGTGGAAGAAACTTGAAAATAAGAAGTGTGTTCTTTTGCGCAGGATCATCTGTCTGCCAAAAATAAATAAAACTGGGCTTAGAACTTTGACAATCATACTAAATTGCTTTAGTGAAAAGAATAAAAAGAGAAGAAGCTTTTGTTATGTTTCTCACTTGAGGAGGCTTCATAATCTCCATTGACACATACTGAGAGACAATAAGAAGTACAGGCAGAACAAGATACGCGGCGGTGTTAGCCCATCCCAATGGTGGATGCCCATCCTGCACCACCAAACAGACATTAAGACTAGGAAACTTTATTCATGCATGTTATAACAAAACGTTGAGAGGCTTTTTTTAAATTTTCTCTCTCTCATTACCACAAAGGGGAAAAGCCATGAGACGCCAGATCCACTGGCCCGAGCAGCGATACTTGTTGGTCCACCAAGAGATGGAATCCAAAAGAAACCTTCTGTAAAGAGCCCCTGCAAAGTAAAACGTTTTTTTTCAGCAAAACATAAACAAAACCTAGTCCGTAGTGAAACATAAGGAATATCAGGAACCTCGTTGGCCACGTTGGAGAGAGCTTGGTATAAACCAATCCAGACTGGTATGGTAGCTAAAGTTGGCAAGCAACCTAACATCAAAACAAACAAAATACTGTATATAATAAGCACACTTTGACGAATAACAAATTGCAATACAACCACCAGAACTAGTAACTTCCTAAAAGCAAAAGTACCTGCCAATGGATTAACACCAGCTTGTTTATACAAGCGTGACGTCTCTAGTTGTATTCTCTCCTATGTCCACACAAAAAAAAAAACAGAACAAAGAGTCAGACTTGATCAACCTCCCATTTAACTCAAATATTTTTAGGCACAAAAGATCACCTGATTGCCTGCGTAACGTTGTTGAATGGCTTTAATCTTGGGTTGAAGATTTTGCATCGCCATCGTTGATTCAACCTACAGAATGAACCAATCCAAATCTATTCAGCAAAACGCTTCAATTCCAAGATATTAAAGAAAAAATGCACTTATTATCAATTGATTTAGAGTTAAAAACTCGTAACAAGTCTGAATCTGACATAAACTCTTCAATTCCAAAATGTTAATCCACTTATTTTCAATTGATTTTGAGTTAAAAAACTCGTAACAAATCCGAATCCGACATAATATCAGAGCCACTTAATTTTAGACCACCCGTGGAGGTTGTTCGCACAGTTGCCCATTCTTACAGAGAAGGTTGTTCATGAAAATCCACTTATTGTCAATTAGTTTTGAGTTGAAAACTCACAATAAAATCCGAATTTGACATAACATCAGAACCACCCAATATTGTTATTCTAGCAATTAACTACACTAACAGAGAAGGTATATGTTAATCAAAAATCCACATACTGTCAATTAGTTTTGAGTTGAAAATCTATAATAGATCCGAAATTCGAGATCAGAGCCACCTAATGTTGCACTAACCGTGGGGAGGTTGTTAATGAATGAATAAAAAAATCCTATTAGACAACCAAATTCAAATTCTTAATAAACTTTTGCTAGTAAGACTGAGTCAAACTGCAAACTGTAACCACCTGTTGCTTAGTCAAAGGGTACGTAGCTGCCTTGACGATGAGAGTAAGCAAAATAATCGCAAATCCATAAGCGTACGGCACATGAACCGCCGTTAGTCCATCCTTCAAAAACTAAAACAAAAACGAGATAACTGTTAAAATCTCGTCGCAATCATGAACTTACTTAATCAGCTGCTGAAAACTCTCACCTTAAGCACAAGTTCCATACCATCGGAGATGAATCCGAACCAACCGCCACTCTTCTGCACCACAGCCGGATCAGCACCGACAAGTGCTGCGTCGGCTATGGTGTAGAAGAGAGACTCCGCTCTGGTGAGAATCGCTCCGATGTCGACAGAGCCGTGGAGAGGAGGAAGAGGAGGAAGCTCGTTTAAGCTGAAACGTACCGTGGTGCTGAGATGATGTTTGTTACTTCGGTACGGTAGAAACTGTACGTGACGCGAAGACGACGACGGTTTGAGTAGAGGCGAACCGAAGAAGGAAGATGGAGACGAGACTAGAACTCTCGCCATTGGAGGGAGAGGATGAGAGGAGAAGAAGAAGAAGATAGAGTTTTTTCTTTTTCTTTCTTTTGTGTTTTTTGATTTTTGTTTGTTTGTTTAATTTATGAATTTTCTTGTAAAATATAAATGGAACGGAAAATGAGACGTAGCTGGTATTCTCCATTCCTGAGAGTCCACGTGGCCATATATCCAACGTGGGATATGAGTGTTAGTCGTTAATTGTTGTAAATTGTAATTTGGTCACTACTAATATCTAAATGGGTATTTTTAAGAACAGTAGTCTCACCTAGGGCTGGGCATTTTATCCGTTATATTTGATTCGATCCGTTATTCGTTTCGGTTCGATCCAAAAATTCCGGATATCCGTAAACTTTCGAATCAAAGCAAATACTAAAATTCAATATCCGTTAAAATCGAAGCAAATCACAAATATTAAAATTTTGGAAAGCGGATATCCGATCCGATCCGTAAATATATAAATATATGTATATTTTGATTATATTTAAAATTTTAATTGTATAAAATTATAAAATTATTATTTTAGCACA